AMSAATGYGGTTCAAACTTTTGAAACATTCGTCAAGACAAGCTGCAATGATAAAGAGGAGAGGATGAATAGCCTTCTATCTATTTTGGCCACTGCATTGGACATTTTTGTTCCACATAGAAAACTTCTGTTGCCCCACCAGTTTTCAAAATCTTTGAACAATACTTAGCTCATTTGTCTCCCAAACACATTGTTGTCGTCACCCCCCCCCTGCATGGGCAAATATAACATRAGACCCATGACGTTGAAAACCTTCAGGACCTTTCTGATACTATCATCAATAGTTTGCCATTGCAAAGGTTGGAATGAATAATCTTCTTACAGCTCCCTATGGATGATCATTGTTTGTTGTGCTTCTTTTCAGTACTACAAAAAGTCATCAAGCATCTTGTAGTAGGTTGATCACCATCTCATTTCAACATCTTGGAATGGCTGGTGGCAAATGCCACCTTTGTTGTGGTGGGAACCTGCCTGTCTCTCTTTTAGAGYTTCCATTGCTTGCATTGACTTTTTGAAGTACCTCACACTTTTCCTTGCCAATTTTAAAAGTATCATCATAAAAAAAAGTATTGTCCCCATCATACAGTAGCATTTTTTGCAAGTGACAAGGTGGTGCAAAAGATGATCAGCAGTGCAATATGCATGAGGAACTTTTAAGTTGTTCTGCTCAAGAATTGTACCAAATCTGTTCATCTAACCTTCAGTGTCAGTTGTAGCTGCAAAAATYTTGGCACCACTGCAAGCATATTTTTGATGTCACCTTTGAAAGTCCTCTCCATCATCTTGTCTGCTATTGTACTCCTAGTACTACTGCCATCTTGATAGTAAAAGAAACATTCCCAGGGGAACATCGTTGACATAAAATTTTGGTCAATCCAATCAGGATTCATGCCACATTAAGAATTGTCAACTAATTTTGAAGTCCAGTGATCCACTGTACCACAAACATGATCCTGCCCATCCATAAGCTTCATAGTAGCAAAAATGGTACTAGTACAGATCTCATCACTCTTTTCTACTACAATATCATTKTAAAGCTCCAAGCAAGAATAATGTTTTGCAGACAAAAATGCAAAGAAAGATTGGTACAGACTGTTAAAGTTAATTTAATGATGCCGTCCTTAGCACAGTGGAATACAGTACAAAAGGTACTGAGATAGTTTGCAACTAGTCTGGTGCTTCTTTCTCAGAAGGCAATCATGCTGAAAATTTCGGGGAGCAACACTCAGTAGAGCTYTGTAGAATTTGTACTGAAAAAATAACCATGGCATCATTAAATTAACTACCGGTACGGGGAACCACTTTCTCAGTGCCGAATGATCTTCATTCTTGTCGCGAATAAAATGCACGAGTTCGAATCGTATGAGAATCGTACGTACCGGTAGGTACSTACGTGGTACTCGTACGAGAARTATGAAAAATAAAATATCYAAGACGATGCGTGTGACGGTTTTTTCGAGAGAGGTTTCTCCTGGGTCTGGCTCAAATTCAGATATTATTTCGAACCCGGTCATCGACAGTCGACAATCGATAGACCACAGTGCGAGAGGGCTCAAGATYCTGCCATCCATATTACAACAATATCTTCTATTTTCGATTTGTGTTACTGGCCATCAGACRCCATAGTTCACAATCTAATTCCAGGCCGCACCAGCACACCGAAGAAAAAAAGGAAGAATGTCTCGTCTCAAAACATCGCGAAACAATGAAAGAAAAATGGGGGTTCTGGAAATGGAAACGGAAGCGGAAATGGAATCCCTGGTACCCGGCGGAAATACAAGGAACCCTGGTGCAAGTGATGACGCGGTCACATCCTGCGGTGGCATGACCAATAACCAAAGCAGATTCCTCACGGTGTTTTTCGTTTTGGCGGCCATGGTAGGAATGTACCTCTCGGCCGTCGACAGAAGCGTGATCGAGGCCACCATGGGCGTCRACGGAGGACCCAGCGGCTCGGACCATGTCGAAAAGAAGGAGAAGTTCCACAAGCCCGGCGGGAGTTTTGGTGGCATCAATAACCTTGCCCATCCCGGTGGGGCCAAGGCCGCAAAAAATGGACAAGGCATTGCCTTTGCGGACATTGTCATTCCCAAGTCGAACGTTGGGCACGCAATCCCCAGTGTGAATCGACCGAATATTGTCAATTCCTGGGGCCACTACGTTCACGACGAGCACCGCTCCCCGTATGCATCCCACCTGTACGACGCCACCCAGGAAGAGCTGAACGAGCGGCAGCAAAAGTACGTGGAAAAAATGAAAAAGGTCCGCGAGGAATGGGGTGCATGGGATTTCCGCGATCCACGAGACGACGAGAATGGCGACACAACTACTCCTAAAAAGGACTGCGGCGACCGATCAATCGCCGACTTTTCTGATGCTCCATACAAGGATTTGGCGCTGGACGAGTTCCCGCCCGATTCCTGGCAAGCCGACGAGGAGTATGTCGCCCGCTTTTTGGATGAGGCGAAAAAACTCGTCCACCGGGTGAAGGAGGGAATATACGCCGAATACGGGTGGCCCACCAAGGGCAAGGAAGGTGACAAGGACTACCTGGAAAAGAAAGAAAGGGTATGGAAATTRCACATTTCCGACTGCTCTGGTGAATCTAGTGGTTCCTGCATCAAGAAGCCTAAAGAAGGTATTGCCGTCCTAGAAAAGGTTGCCTTCGAGGGCCTGGTGAAAAAGCTCCTGCACAGCTTGATGACTAACGATAACTTTTTTGCGGTTCTTGSGGGTCACTCGGCRGCGGCCGGGCACGGAAATGATTTCCAGCAAAACCGCATCATCACCTTCCACCACCTGATGGAACCGGTGTTTGACAAGCTTGGAATGAGGCTTATCAGCAGGAACATGGGCATGGGTGGAGTAGGGACGCTCCAGTTTACGGTTGCAGGTGGCGACCTTTATGGCGAAACAGACATTCTTGAATGGGACTCTGGGATGACCGAAAAGGGACCGCCCGTAGATTTGTTTAACAAGCAAGCGGTCTTGAGCGGGGAGCGTGTCCCGATCATTATGAGCGACTTCCATTTCAATATCATGAAAGAAACCAATGGAACGGCGTGGATTGGAAAGTACATTGGGGGCTTCGAGAAAGCAATYGTYGAGGACACGACGTACGAGAATGCTGCCAGCCAGCCGTACGCGGCGCGATGGATAAACGAGAAGGAAGAAAAATACAACGCCATTTGCTGGGAACCACGATCCGATTTTACGCCCGAGAAAAACCAAAAAAACAAACCMGGTTCACAGGTAAGCTGGCACCCGGGACACAGATGGCACCACTTTTTGGGACGGCGACTTGCATTGGTGCTCTTGGAAGCCCTTACCGTTGCCTTTGAGCGATGGGAAGAGGGCATCGCGAAGGAGGGGCTTCCATTGGCAACATCGTATTGGCACGTGGGAGAGTCGTACAAGGTGATTCGACAAAATCTTCGAACTCACATTACGACTCCCAAAGACGGCAAAAAGGACAATGCTCGATCCGAATGCGAAAAACTAATACCTTGGTTGCCAAGGTTGTGTCGTGTCCAGATGCATGGTAAGTTTATAATTGGGCTATGCGTTGTGATTTTTGGCGTCTGCGCTTTTTTCTAATGTGAAATGACATGCTATCCCTCCTCAACAAAATTCTGCAGGATTCGGAATGTGGACCCCTCGAGCGCATGTGGACTACGATCTGCTTAACATCGTYCATGAAGCTCCCAACGGATATAAGCCGGACTACAAAGAGAACAATGCATACGACGGTTTTGATCTGTTGCCACTGAACCAAGCTATACCGGACGGCGAAATCGATGTCCACGCTATYGCGATTGCTACTACAAGCGTTCCCCCAGATTTGGATCACACCTGGATCGAGGAAGATTCTGCCGGTGATCTCACCAACGCGGGCGATCTTCCGGAAAGCACCGAAGCTCCGCCACCCACCCGCCGTTGGTTGCGGGAGGCTTCCGAACTCGGCTTCCGAAAGGCTGCCRAACTCTTTCCACCATCAACCGTCGTGAACAGCAGAATTTTGTCCGCAGAAAAGRAGAAGAATTCGGTTGCAGCTACTTTCGAGACCCTGCAGCTTCGCAGGGGGTTGGATGCAGCCGCACCAGAACCAGCTGCTACTAGTGCGATTGTGCCGGGACGTGGTTGGGAAGTAGGCGGTGGATGGACTACGTTGAAGGGTTACTGTGATGGTTCGGCCCAAAGTGAATGCCACCGAAACGCAGATAACGACTGTTTGTTGAGTGGTCATAATGATATGCATTTAAATTTATGGGGGGACGCTATGAGTGGATGGTTGGTTTTTACTGTTCCAAAAGTACGTGAGGGAATAATATTGGCAAGGATGGAATGGTGGTGYGGAAGAAAGGAGGGAACCGATTTGACGAGAGAATGGACGGAAGTGAATGGTGGTATGACAGACGACACGACGCCATGGAATCCTAATGATCACAGAGHGATGGCGGCGTCCATTAGCCCTGCGTCAGAAGACGAACAACAACGAGAACGGAAGCTGAAAAAACCGACATTGGATCAGTTAGTCCCATCTGACTTTGAAATGGATATTGCTATCAACGGTGTTATCACCACGATGAAGAGAGAAGAATGGATCGTATACACGAAAGAGTTCACCAAAAATGCTGCCTTTTGGCCGTTGCTCAACGACGAAACCATGGCCGAACGGGATTGGRAYGGAGAACCTGTTGAGGTTGGTATTCGCTTTCGATCGGAATTGATGCCCAAGCAAACATACTGCGTCTCACACGTATACTACGCATAGGAAATCTAGGCGGTACGAAACAACTGAGCGCATGGACGCCCACATGAATTGTTCACTCATGTATATCAGAAAATGAAATATTCTTTTCACATAATTATRAATTTTGATCTTCATCACCAACGACAAAASTRCAGCTGTATGTCGACTACCTTRCATGAAGGATACCACCTGTTGCTTCTTTAGATTCRACCACAGTATGATGTCTAATCAGGAAAAAGTARGCCCGTATTGTATGCGCTGATATTTTCATGTTTCATATCCGATAAAGTGCCATGACTAGCTGTGTCGAGTTTGGTTTTGATTTCTGTAAAWCTCGGACCTCAAAGTTCGTTCTCTTCGTTGTCATTGTAGCCGTCACCTTCAGCTRTAKCACTCATTTCTTGGTCGACCTGACTTTCGAATCTCTTTTCCACSTCGTSGTCCTCGCCATCGTCGTAATGGCCACCTTTTTTGTCATAATTCATTATAATACGCTCGTGACCGTCGTAYTTCCCTTCGAATAGTGCCTTAATATTCACGCCATCCCGCCAGCTTATAAAGTCTCGAATCAACTTAGGCACCTCCGTTAAATCCTTGATGTTGTATTCTTTTTCGAGGGTAGTGATCAATTTGGCAAATTTATTTGTGTGGTTACCGGCCATATCAAAGAAATAMTGACGATCWACAATCTCCTCCCATTCTCTATCACCAGAGTATTTTTTCTTGATATCCGGTSTGGAAAAGAAGTAAAATTCAAGGAAGAAGGCTACGGAGTGAAGATCGTAWTYATTGTCGTAGGACATCTGATCTAGTGCCCAAGATCGTTTGGACTTGCACGTGAGTCCGTGGTCGGTCTGGTTCGCATGTCCCTCTACGCATTTCACCCCCAAATATCCCTGATTGTGCCGCCCACAGCAATCTCTGTCTGTAGAGCACGGCTCAAACTCATCGACGCAGGCGGCGGATGCTCCCAGAGTCGACGACGAAGTTACTACGAGTAGCAAACCTAGAACAACGGTGTTAAAAAAAAATCGAAACGGTGATGGCGACGATGGCGTCATCTGAGACCTGRTTGTCTTGCTCATGGTGGCGGAGGTAGCGGTTTATCCTTTTCAGAACAAAAGAATAGCAATGCAAAACTATTTGCAATGAAGACTTATTTCTGTCGACAGAAAAAAAATGAAGTCGTCATCTGAATTGAGGAGGGAGGGCTTCGGGTGAGAGCTTCCATCGGATTTTGCTTCGTAGATGCAAACGTGGACTTTTTCCAATTTCTTCTGTCTGCAAACTTTCCGTAACCTTAAGTAATTGAAAAAGACACAACCTTAATCATTTGAAAAAGGAAGAACGATGACGTCATGGAATGCGCGGCCCGGAGAAACTGTCGAGCTAAATCATTCGACTCGATGGACTTGGAAAGAACTGTCTTAGCTTTCTATTCGTGATTTGATTTGACARGAATCAATCTTGGGCGATTGAAGTTCCAAACCAAAGATCGCGACGATTGTTCGTGATGTACCGTATGGATTTTGTTAGATGCTTTRTTGTACCATACGAGCATGGTGGTCGTCGTTGAAGGCTAGTATGTTCTCCTTCTTCTTCGAGTGCGCTGCCGAGAATTTCATCCCTTTGGTCCTTTTGCATCATCCTCGTTGATCTCCACCAAACTGTTCACAACTACTACAACCCGATATAATACTCTACAATGAAGACCACCGCATCCATCCTCCTTGCCACCGTTGCGACGGCCGCTGCCTTCACYAGCCCAAGCACCCAATCTGCTTCTACACAATTGCAATCTGCGCAATCCGATTTGGAAGCTTTGGCTGTCGACCTCAACCCCTCTATCAAGTACTATGATCCTCTTAGACTTACTACCTGGAACTTCTGGGAACAAGGAGATGAAGCTACCATTGGTTTCCTTAGACACGCAGAAATCAAGTGAGTTTTCCAACGTCGTATTATAATTGATCTTCGACATCTCAAAAGTCGCCCTTGTCGTTCAGAAATTCAAGCTATTGCACTCATGCTTATTGATTTGCTTTTWACTTCAATTCGAATGTTTGACTCCTGCCGCGTTTGGATTTTTTTTGTTTCTATACGAATACGGCATTCGTTTGTTTCTATTTCTGTTCCTAAYTACGAAAGGCACGGACGCGTCGCTATGGCTGCCTTCGTTGGATACTGCGTTCAATCCAACTTCCACTGGCCTTGGGCAATGAAGCTCGATGGAACCGCCTTCCCCAGCACCGATTTGTCCCCCCCTGAACAATGGGCAGCGCTTCCCATCGAATCGAAACATCAAATTCTTACCGTTATTGGATTCTTGGAGATCTACAGTGAATTGGCCTCCAGTGTCACGGACCCAGATGTGTACCAACCTCACTACATGAAGGGTGGTAAGCCCGGTGCCTACCCCAAGTTTGGAGCGGCCGTACCCCACCCTGTCCCTTTCAACTTGTATGATCCTTTCGGATGGTCCAAGAACCGAAGTGAGGAAGCCAAGGCTCGAGGATTGGTCGCAGAAATCAACAATGGACGATTGGCCATGCTTGGTATTTTCGGATTTTTGTTGGAGCAAACCCTTCCTGGATCCATTCCTCTGCTTGGTGACATCGTCAAGCCATACAGCGGTGACTTGATTGCCGGAAAGGCCTTCACCTTCTATTAAACACCCAGGTTTAGTAGTTCACAGTAGTATGTAGGCAGTAGTTGCAGCTATAAACGACCAAAGACTGCTTCTGGCAGATCGCACCGTGCAAGCAATGCTGGATAACGAAGTGAGAGTTGAGCCGATGTTCACTCATTCCGGTTCCTCCAATCCAGTCGAGGGAGAAAGCGAGAGGATTGTGATCTCGTTTTTTGTCCTGAAATTTTCGCTCTTTAAGTACTTCACAGCAATATAAAATACAACACTTAAAGCGGGATATTCAATTACGACTTTCAACCCAATGCTCTACTCTAGAATACATCGATTCCATGGATAAACTTTGTCAGATAAACATTGCCGATGTCTAGTAGTGTCAGTAGAACGTACAGCTTCTATTTGAGCGTTCTAATCACGTCGCTATCTCGTTGCTATCACGTAGAACCACCACGAAGTTTCTCTACTATTCGTATCACAGCACATCTGTTTCATTTCGAGGTAGTGCTACTCGACTGTTGATAGTGATGATAAGAAGTCAGTTCGGAACAGGTTTCTGTTTCAGTACGTTTCTCCGTGAAATTCCGGAGTRAATTATCTACTGCTATCGATTTTCTATTGTGCTGGCGTAATCYCTCTCTCGCGAAAGTGTTCGTTACCGAAAGATGTTGTGATGGTTGTGCAAGCTCCCCTCTGCCTTTTTTGATTCCTTTTCTGACAAAGYAATCATCTCGCGGAATGCATGTCCTACTTTCTCACGGACTTGTCTTTCTTTGAGACGTACATACATACCATTCCCTACCTTTTTGATGAATCGTGCTCCGACTTTTTGCTCATTTAGGAGGAGGTCGATGACGGATTTGATGACGTAACTCTTTTCCTCTCGACTAGGAGCGTCCATGTATCGCTTGAGATTCATCATTATCGTGACACGAAACCGTCGGTTTCCGACGCAATTGTGAGCCCCGTTGTTTCGACCGCAGATAATATCGTAGGGTCTGGTTTCTTTAATGTATTCAACCGTGCTTTCCTCTTCGGCATCGCTGTTATTCTTGCTACTAGTGCTATTTTGCAAAGGTTTTGGCGCGGGCAAGCTACTTGGTGGTAGGGGAGATCGCCGTGCTGCTTCCTCTTCCCAGACTGACCGTTCGCGTTCCAATGCTTGGGGTTTCGCTGTTATTATTGTGTTGTCCTTCATCAAATTTCGATCTTCGACATGGGGTCTCCCCATGRTTCGACTGTTTTCAAAAAACCCTGTCATTTCTGTATCGACAGGAGTTTTTTGAAACACTTTCACGAGTTTCTCTCCGTCGAAGCTACTCCCGCTGTCTCGTCTCTCGGTATCGAAGTCCGAGGTCAATTGTTCATTCGTGGGTTGGAAAACGTCCATGAGCTGATCCCCATCGTAAATTTCCTCTCTCTGCATACTCGCAAAAGTTACTGCACTTTCGATACTGATTCGATCCTCCCGGTGTTTGTCATTCCTAAGATTGAATGTATTGATATTCATCATCGTAAGTTTCAGTTTTTGTTTGTCTTTTGATATTTACTTTTTTWAAAATGGAAGTAAAAATAYTATAATTCAGACCGACTCTGAGTCACGAGGTAAATCGCTTTTGCTGCACGAGCCAATAAACTCTTCGCGCAACAAGTGTTTCTAAGCAGGAAAGTGAAACGCTCTTCGCGTATACCAGGCACCTCATCACTGAATCTTGGTTTGTATTTTGCGCGGAAGAAGAAGTAATTACTGACGTCTTGACCTTTTTCACGACTAGTTAGTATYATTGAAATAATGTGAGAATACTTCAATGAATGATATAGGCCCAAGTTTAATTTGACTGCGTGTGGAAATATCAGTGAATACCTAAAACCAGAACAACTTGAATGAAAAAAGTTATTTCAAGAGCAATAGTACGAAGCAATAGAATGAATCCTTCCCAAGCGATTTAATCTCCTTTGCAAGATTTCAGTGAATGTCCCATGATTCGTCAAAGACTATTCCATCGTTTAGATTGCGATAATACCACAAAGTCCAGCATTATTTTTTGTGTCATCATAAATAAGAGACGCTGCACGCTTGGGCCCTGTAAATTTTCTACCAGATTTATCTGTCTGTTGTTAATGTTTGGCACACTAAAAATATAAATATTCTTCTTTTAACAATGTCTATATCCTATCCTGGGCGATTTTTCTTCCAAAAAAATCGGTATTGGTGAATTCCTGCTTACATAATTTGTGCAAAAATATGCCATTTTCAATATTTTTCATGGTACCGGTAGRGAGACGTAGCAACTATCATTGGATATGTAACTCAGTACCGTACATATTGTTCATTTATGCAGGATTGAACCCTTAGAAGATCAGAAACGCGTTACCAACACGAGACTTTAGAGTAAAAATTCAATTCCTAGTGATATATCGAAATGCAAGCTTTGGCGCTGCTGGAAAATTTTCTAAAGAAAAGCCAGAATAWAGATGGGAGTGGGTTGAATGTTCGGGGAAAGGTGTTGCAAGTACGTTGCATGGCTTTCAACGGYCTTGATCACAATATTTTTCGTTGCTTACATCAAATCGCGGTGTCCTCGTTGTGTATTCAGGATATGTCAAGAACGAGAACCAGAATTACGCATACGTACTTCGAAGCCTTTGAACACATTCTCATCTCAAAAATGCTTAACAAAGTTGCGACATGGATCTTGATTGTTGCAGTAGATGTTTGAAAGCAGATGTCTACCCCTGATATACTTTCGTCTTWRATGACTGTTGTGTTTGTAGTTGGTTGACTTCGTTTCATAACCTATTTCACGGTTCTAAATATCATTATAATAACGTTACTGCTTTCAATTTGGTGCAAGATGGATGCTTCGTGTGTAAATTAATTAGTAAAAGATAGCAAYCCCTCAYCTCAAATTGAACCGAGTGCCATACTAGTATTTCGCTCAGCAGTCGAGGTTCAGGGATTTCGACGTAATGGATGGACTGGGGACTATTCCACCCGGATTCAACGGAAATAACTGTCGGTAGTAGGATTCGCAGGCATCGCTGATGTCGATCGATTCCCGGACGCCGGGGACTTCGTTCCAGCATTGCTTCATCCACCGAAAAATGGACGGATAGTCGCATTGCAACCGCAAATGGGTCCCGCCAGCATTGAAAAGAGGTCCATAGACTCCGTCGTACCGCAACATTGTCGGGAGAAGCATCAGGTCCGATTCGGTAAAGAGCTCATCGTCGGAAACGAAAGTTTGTTCYGACAAGATCTCTTCGAGCATGCCCATTCCCTTCAGGACATCTCTGGAGGCGGAGTCGTAGGCACCTTGCGTCGTAGCAAACCCACACCGGTAGACTCCATTGTTGACCAGTTCGTAAATCCATTCGTTGCGCTCGTCAACCACAGCCTGTAGATCCGCAGGAATGGACGCCGGATCCAGTGCAACKACCRTCTGGGCTGTTGTTGTCTCGCTTGAAGGTCCTGTCTCCSCCGATTCGGCACGCAACAGCAGTGGAAGCATTCGAACAATGTCCTTGGATTCGTTCGATACAATGCGACGGGTCTTCCAATCAACTAGCAGGGGAGCCGTGCAACGGCCAGTGTATCCCGGTGATAGATAATCGTAGAGTTCTCGTAGGTCCTTGAATTCTTCGGGTTGAATYGAAGATGTTGAAGACGCCTTGCYGTTTCTRCTATCGTCAAAGATCCATCCACCACGGCTGGCCTTCTCKGGATTGTCGATCAGAACGGTCACGCCATCCAGTGTAGACTCCAAACCCAAAAGATACACTACCAGTCGGACCCGATGGCACCATGGGCACGGATTTCCCACGTACAAGTGATACCGACCGGCTTCGACGGGGAACTCTGCACTGTCGTCCTCGCTAATGACATTGTCAAACCCATAGGTAGGGCGCTTATAATCCCCTGTGGTCTTGTCCCGCGGAGCTAGTTCGGTCATGAATCTCAACCAGATRAACTTCCAAAAGAATTTGGCGGTTTTGACAATGTTTCCCTGTGGAACAACCTTGGAAGCAACCTCCAACAAATTGAATCCCTTGTCGACATTATTGTTTGCGTTCCCGGCACTGTCGTTGTTGTTCCTGCTGCTGTTTAAAGATGCAATTCGTTCCGAAGGTCCGGGGTTGAAAGTAGTTTTCTGAGACCGACATCGAAAAGCGGGAGACTGAGCTACAAATGCGTCGACTTCCGCGGCTTTATTCAAGGTCGTAGGAAAGAGGAAGAGGCCTGCGAGAACAAAAGTAATCCCGTACAACGTGGAAAAGGAAACCATGATTATTGACGGCGTTTCTCGTTTTTACGTTTTCGTAGCCCGTAATTCGGGAGTCGTTATGAAATCCGATGATCGTGGGATGGTGAGTTCCCCTGTGGTACTCGTACTCGTACCCGATGACGATTGACGATTGACTAGTGATGAGTGGTGAGTGGTGAGTGAGAGCATTGCAAATATCTCTATTTTCTCGTTGCAAAAAAAGATTTGTTGCAACGATCTTTCATTTTGATATGTGTCACATGGGAGTAATGCAAGTACAGTTACGTACATAATGCACGTACGTACGGTACGAGACAGTCATACTCAATCCATGCTTGTGGTAGAGTAAAGTACTCGTACTACGGTAGAATCGTAGGTTCTGTCGTGCCCTGGGACGATCATCATTGAAGATTTTACCACGTATCTTTGCTACTAGACCCGCTACTAGAATGGAACCAGAAGGGGCTGGTTAACACAGATACTTAAGAGGGGGCTTTGAGAATTTAAAAAACATTTCTGGTAGCGCGGCATATATTATGGTAGCGTTTGTGGTAGCAATCTGGTAGCATTTCTGGTCGCAATCTGGTAGCAATTATAGCTACCATCTGGTAGTCATTCTGGTAGACTGGATTGCTACCATAAATTCTACCAGATTCTGGTAACCATCATGGTAAACACTTAATTCACATAAAAGTTGAGCATAAATAGAAGAATTCCCTTGACTTGCTGTTTTCTACAGCGCTTTCTACACAGCTTTTGTACTACAGACGTCCATAAAACCAATTTCCAGTCCCGGGGAACCTCCAAGAAACTATTGCTACCAGAATTGCTACCAGATTTGCTACCATCTTGCGACTAAAATTGCTACCATCTGGTAGCAATTATGGTAGCAATCTGGTAGCAATTCTAGTTGAAATCTGGTAGCAATTCTAGTCGAAATCTGGTAGCTACCATTTTACCATAAATATTTTCTATAATAATTAGATTCTCCTAGCCCCCTCCAAAAGTTTCAGTCGCCAGCAAGTTACCATTCTTATTGCCAGACTATTGCCTGGTAGCGTGCCCGGCGTGGTAAAAGAGTCAATGATGATCGTCCCTGTTTCTTACATAAATAATTGGCTACCAGCTACTACTGTAACTTCAGYAAGCTAGTGCCAGGCCTCTAGAGCATCCTATAGGTTCCAAATGACATAGACACCTAAATAATTTTATCAACAAGAAGTACTGGGCGCTCGTGGTCTACTAGTACTACTAGCTAGCAGAACAATTGTTTTACTAGTAGTAGGAGGAGGGTCACTTGCTGGTTGCCTATTTTGTACTACCACACGGCTGGTCTCGCAACTAGCAAAATCTGTGGGAGTGACTATCTAATATTGATGTAAATCGAGCACAAGAAGAAAAGTGAGCCAATGGAGGATTGATGAACTATGAAATCTAAGGTCGACCAAAATGAAGATTGAGTGATGTGTGAATCGAATGAGTCAAGTCAGTCATGGTGGTGTAAGTGAATCAAATGAGTTGAGTCAATCATGAATGAGTCAAGTCAGTCACGTAAGTGAATCAAATGAGTCAAGTTGATCATGTGGATCCATAGGATCAAGTGAGTCATGAATGTAAAGTGTGTATGAATCATAGGTATGTGTCATATGTATGTGTCATAGATATGAATCAAACCCATGATCTGATATCCTATGGACAGAAAAATTTGGCCATACTGACTGGTGTTAGATGAGCATGGCAGCCACTGTGCACCTATTGGTTAGGACACTGGCACAGGTACACTTCCCCAACACTATGACCGAGCATACCCCCAAAGGAAAGGACCTTAGATGCCATTCTGGAGTAGTTCTGATGGCTCTCAGTTGCTTGTTTTTAATGTTCCAAAGAAAAAATGTAGATCTGTGTAGAATTCAGTAGGACAAAAATTATTTACAGCAAGCAACAACAATTGGAGCCCTTTGTTGATGGAGCCCTTTGTCGCAAACTAATTCGCAGCCAAATTGTCCCCCATCACGATGATAAGAAGATGTAGATCTACTAATTAAATAACAATGCTTGTTACAGTCAACCAATTGAAATTGCTAAGGGAAGCTTCCTTCCTGGTGTTCTTGCTGTGGTTGCTGAATTCAAAAATTTCTTACTTTTTGCCCTATTTGGTAGATCAGCAGTTAAAATAAGAGTTCTTCCACCATTAGAATGATGATATTCAGTGACCTTACTAAGAAGAGTGAGCACTTTACTAGTGTCGTACTACTACCACTATTTTTTGATAGTAGAACTTTGTATCAATGAAATTGGCAATACCACTAACTGGTACACGTTCAGCAAGTCTTTTGTTGTTATTGTCACTCCTCAAATCCAAATTCGAGCCTAGTCTCTGGAAACAACAGTCAGTGCAGAATACAGAGAGGCAGAGAATATAAGTGAAYCCTATCATACCAATTACTTCAATCCAAAATCAGACAAGCAYTGTCTTTTGAAACTCTGCGCTCTATAACCTACATAAGAAGCGAACTTATGTKTTAGTGATGCAAATGAACGAGGGATACCCGGATGAAAAAGGTGCGTTATATTCCCYAGTAATAGATTGAAGAAACCGTATCACAMTAACACTTTTAAGACCATTCCGTTCGAGCCGGCGGAAAAGGTCTCTGACGAACTGGTGCGATGGACATCCCACGTTCCTCTCGTTGGTTCAGGCCAAACAAAACGAGTTTCACAGCCATGTGATCTTTTGGACCGATAGGTACTCGTTCCGCGCCCTCCGCCGCACCAGCGGTACCATCCTCAGGCCGTGCGATTCCTCCATCTCGGCGGCCAGCTCGCACGGCAGGTTGTCGTCGACCGTGATCATRTAGCAGGCACCATCAGGCTTGCGAAGGAGCTCGGCGATCTGAGGGAGCGCCCGATCGATGACGCGGCGGCCGTCCTYCCCACCCGCCCAGCTGATCTCGATGCCGTTCCCGCAGATCTCCGAGTCGTCCGTGGGAACGTACGGGGGGTTGAAGAGGACCACATCGGCKGTCCCCCCCAGCCGCTCCAGCAGGGGTTCCGCCAGGTCGCACTCCACGAATTCGACCGATCGGATCCTCGCCTTCGGTGTTTGGCACTCGTGCTTGCCGTCGTCGGCACCAACGGGAACGACTCCGTTTTCTTTGGCCGTTCGTTCGGCAAACTCTAGGGCCAGGGAATTCAGGTCCGTCGCCACCACAGAAAAGCCTTCGCCGGCAGTKGTTTCTGTTTCGTCCCCGTTGTGCRGGTGGCGTGGCTTTTCCMTCTTCAATCTCTTGGAAAGGTAGGTGATCGGAACCCCCGAGCCGGTACCGATTTCCATCACCAGCTGGATTCGTTCGAGTCGTTTTAGCTGCTCGAGCCGCAAGGCAATCTTTTTCGATTGGACCTCTTCGCACCCCTCCTTCCGTATCGTCTCTTCGAGAATAATTCGTGTTCGGTGCTGTTCGTTGCCGCTTCTGTCGTTTCCAACTACTTTGTTGTCGTCGTTGCTACCGGCTGAYCCGTGGTATATTTCCAGAGCTGCCTTTTCGACGATCTCTACTTCACTGCCTTCSCCCACCTCGCCATCGTTTTCGTCGGCCGAATATCCGGAAAACAAGTCGTATTTGAGGGCATCGATCAGCAGGTACGTGTCGTCGCTCGGCTCGTACACGTTGGCATAGTCAGCCATCGAAGAATGGTCCATCGTAGGCATCTTAGCCGGCGAGGTGTTGGCGACAAGCCTACCACGCTCCAACGCGGTTTCGTCAAGCTGTTTCCACGCCAGCCTCGACGAGTCCGATGCGGTCTCGTTGTCATRCGATCGCAAGGGATGCCATTCCGTCATATTTCGATAACGATATTGTGTTTTTCGTGGATTCGTGCTGCGATACCTGCGATTCAAAATAGAAACGGCTGTGTTTTCTTGAGAGGGGACGTCTTGGACGGTACTCGTAGTCAACGCGCGTTCGCAGTTGTTGCCATCGAATCCCAATTTTTGTCGACTACGACAAGGATACAAATAATCATAGTTTTGGCACATGAATGATGGCGTTGATGGCCAATGGTCTGTCCTAYCGTACGTTACTTCCTCACAATGGAATGCTGCCTCCAACTCTTGAGCACGTCTGTCTGATGTCCATCCGTGACTGACGAAAATCAACCCCCATCAATTCTTTTCGATGCACCGTTCTCAGAGTGCAATTCGTCRCAACAACCAGATTTCTCGGCCGACTATATTTATGGAGGGAAGATCCATCTAACTATCTGAAATGGCCGATGCCACAGCCGGGACAACGACATCGGGAAGCAGAAGAGGGGCATCGAGAAAGGTCCGTGTGTACGTCTTTCGTGAATGGCTGCTGAAGACCTACGGGGGGTATCTTTCCGAACAAAACAAATACAACAACGCGGCTGTTTCGGAATCGAAGCCCAATGAAAATACTAAKCATCAAACAGATGTAGATCGTTCGAAAGGTCGGGGGCCGAAGAAACGAAAACGTGGAGGTGATAMGAGCAGCTGTGGCGATGCTTTGATCCTAGACGTCGCCGGAGGGAAGGGGGATCTGTCGTGGCTGCTGAAAAATGCGGACGGATTGGAGTCGATCGTTTTGGATCCGTGGAAGCCCGATCCAAAGTCTCGATCGAGAAACGAACGGATGACCAAGAGCATAGAGTACCTGCGGAGCCATCCGGAGGAAGCTACGAAACGGTCGATTCCGTTCCTGCCGACGTACCAGCCCCTGGCAGCCTTGATGCCGCGGCTTCTKGAAGAGCGAAGGAAACGCCTGTTGCGACCGTCGAGAGGGGAGCCACACAAGCCATCATCAGCTCCCGATCTAATCAGTGTCAGTGAGTCCCATTCTATTGACCGCTGCAGGCCCGAAGATTTTCTGACCCCCCGGCTTTTGCAGGTTCCGCTCGACGAGGACATGGTGCAGCGGGTGCAGAGGCGGATACTCGACAAGAACGATTGGTCTGCTGGGAACTCGGAACCAGACCACGWAATCGACACCGATGCAGAAACAAGTGTCGATCACGTCAACACTTTCCACAACACGGTTGCAAATGRCACCGCTCACAGCAAGCCCGGGGACGGACGCGGCGGCGGCGAGGAGGATGCCCTCGGTGTTTTGGCTTCCGGCCGCATCAAGTTGATCGTGGGATTCCACCCGGACCAAGCGACGGAACCCTGCGTCGATCTAGCCAGGGTGCTTGGGATCCCCTTTTGCATCGTTCCGTGCTGTGTCTTTCCRTCGGAGTTTCCCAACCGTCGCCTGCGATTGGGAAACGGGGAGACGTCGCTATCGCCACCGTTGGTAGGAGGGACCAACCAAAGGAACGAAAGCGGTGGAGACCGAAGTATGGATCCCAACCAACCAAAGGAAGAACAGTTGGTTCGCGTGCGAACCTACAATCAATTTCTGGAATACCTGAGACAGAAACCGACCAACAATCAGAAAATAYACATGGCGCACCTCGATTTCCCGTTTACCGAAACCGCGAAGAACATTGTGCTGTACACATTACCCCCGTCGTCCTGAACCGACRGGGGTGCTAGGTGATGGCTTATTGCCGARGATAAATTCGYGAAAAGAAAWCATTTATTCGAAATAATCAGCTTTATGGGTTGATCTMAATGGTCTATTTGTAGGTTTCATYGCCAAGAAATATGTTCCCTGTGCATTCATACCACCGACTCATCTACGTCCTGTAGGATGCAKTGAATCCTTTTTCTTTACTCGTTCCGCCGAATCTCTGCTTTGGTATTCCTTTAGTTGTTCGTTCACTTCCTTCCAAACCTTGCCAAGATCACCTCCGGATTCCTCCCAACAAAACTGTTTCGCATGTAGGGAACCCAGGTCGACGGTTTTGAATAATGTTCCCAGAGGTGGGAAAGACTTGTCGTAATCGATTCTTCCGTCCCCTGGAACCGTTCTTCCTGACGCGTAATCGTATTCCCATTGGCAGGCGGGAATTTTATCTTTCTTCAGATTGTCCTTTTCYGTTGCTTTCTCTAGCAGCGACAGGAACGACCGCGGAAATGATTTCGCCTCAGCTACTTTTCCTTCTTGTTTGGTGGCTTTTTCGAGCAGCGAAAGCAGGGACCGCGAGAAAAACTTCTCTGCTGCGTCGCTTGTCGCTCGAGCCCTGCGCTTGCGTCGAAGAATTTGGTTCACGGTCGGAATGGAATTAGTGGAACATATCGTAAGGGGTGGCATCTTCTTCCTGGCAACTTTTTYGTCTTCCCAGGGTGCCAGCACCGTGTTTCTCCAAGCCCTGGCCTCCTCCAATTGTAGCTTCATGTGCTGCTTGTACTCCGATATCTTTCCCTTGTCGTCCTGATCGATCTTGTGCCGGTACGCGGGATCGAATATTCCTATTTCGTTCTTTTCCCATTCGTCAGGATCATAAAAATCAATCTCAATTGGTTTCCCCGGAGACGCTGGTCTCCACTTGCTTTCTTCATCGTCTGCAGGAGAGGAAATCTTCTTTCCTATGGTGCTTCGATCGGCCTCGAAGGCAATGGTGTCATCGTCTGACTCCCCGTCGCTACTAAAGTATTCGCTTACATCGACAAAGCTGTCTCCGATGTCTTCCTGGATCTGGGGRAAAAACATCCAGTGGCTCGAAAAGGTAAATTGGACAGGAGGTAAGAACTGACGGCAGGTTCCAAGCTCGGTGAAGTACCCTTTGTGCATGTCCTGAAAATACTGAATCCCTGTTCCAAACGGGACTCCGACCAAGACCCCRCCGGGTTTGTATTTCTCTGGATGCTTTTTCATGGCAGTGTAGGCAATGAGCCCCCCAAGCGAATGCGCCACAACCTGGACCGGTCGCCCGCCCGGGAATTCGGTTTCGCAAAATTCGTGGAATTCCTCGGACAGCTCAGAAAGATTCCTTCGCCAGTCGTAGGAAAACGTCCTGGTCGGTCGGGGTTCCATGATTTTTGCAATTGACCCATCTTGCTGCTCTTGGTCTGTATCACTGCCGATTTCGTTTCTATTTCCACATCCATTTCGATCGGTATTGGCGTTGTAGGCATCGTTGACCTTTTCCAGAAATTTTGTGGCGTGTCCATAGAATGGAAAGAAATCGAGATTGCCAGTGTTGGACAGTAGGGCACCACCCTTGCCTGGTAGCATGCCTGTCAGCTCGACCACGTGATCAACCGTCCCATCGACGAAATGMCTCCCCTTGTCTTGGATTRRWGCAGACGTTATGTTGGTGCCATCGCCGTCCGCCTTTTGGAAGGTATACGAAAGCGGTAGGGAAATGTCTCGTTCGGGATCATGGTCGTCACGAGGGGGAAAGTTCAGCAACCCCCCTAGGGTAAGCCAGGATCGCTGGGGTTTGACATCCCCSTTGGTTCCCAAAAAGGCGAGRTGAGATCCCTTGATTCCGTGCAGAAAGACGAGCGGGATGCTTTCCTCGGTTTCGGAACGCATCGAATCGCCATCACCACCATTTTTCCGCAGGGCGTTAAGCGACGACGAATACACCCGGAATTGGCAGCAAACMAATGGTTTGGTTGGTGGGAAAGCCAATGGACACGGCGAGGCAGTTGTTGTTTGAATTCGACCCGATCGAAGCTCTCGTTTGGCACCACCATGAATACTTTGTCGAATGYCACTGAACGCAGAAGCAAGGTGATTTTGACTCCCAACGAACGCGMGAAAGATGCTACCACTCCGAATCGCAAACGCACTTCTGGCTTGGGCCTCCACTCGAATCATGGTTKTCAGGGCCAATAGAAGCATCGATGCTACCACTACTCGCCGCCTCTTGATTTCAAAGAACAGCACTACTTTTGGGTCTGGATTTTTCCGTCGACGAAGATTCGATGATGACGATACCGGGACTTTCATTGCAATCGCATCTCGGCGAACAATCGAATCTGTCTCACCTCAGCAGTCGCTCTCGAATGTTGTATGCCTTACTCACTCTTTGATTCGTCTCAATCTTATTTGTTTCTTTTCCTTTTCGCAGTTGATGAATRTACTACGTAGCTGAGGACCCCGTGATGTATTCTCTACTCGTGCACCATCTGTCTTCCGCGGCACCGCGGTTCTATAACCAGTTGTATCTCTTCCGACACGGATGWCCTCAACAGTTKMAAACRATCGCCCCTAGCTATGCTGCACGAGMCAGTACCATGCAACTGAAGTTCTGACTGTGATTGTTTTARGCTGAAGATAGTGACAACAACAYGTGACGACATCRTTCCTTCTAGCCGATCTTCGAAAATGTCAACGTGGATACATTAATATTAATATTACTTTGAGATTAGGGATTAGAATAAAGAGTGAGGTTATTCACTAGCTGCTCGTGACTGTTCTTTTGTAGAAGTAGAAGTACTTCGTACSGGCTTCGTGATCACACACACGAACAAACAGGATCACATCATCATCGTCATCGGAGGAAAAATAAAAAATACTACTGTGATTCTTGGATGTAAAATGTACGTACTGTACGTACTAACAGTCGCTTACCGGTACAGTACGTACCGTATTCCTTCAATTCTTTCCAATAAAATTTTTCATCATTTGAATTCGTCATCACTATTCGCGATAATATATTGATGTGAGAGAAGAAGAGATGCAAAGTAGAAAGAATGATAACCTTTAAAGCGAGATTCACTTTCTGCTTGGTGTTCATTTCTCTCGCGACGTCGYTGTCCCAGTCATGGTTCTTGCATGTGGAATCGTTTGTCGAACCGGRCACGAGAAGGCATTATTTGTCTCGAYCRGCWTGGATTGCTGCTCCGTCGATAMGAGGCAATCCTTGCTTGTACAGCAAATACGGGAACACGATAGTAAAAACAAATGMAGATTTTGATCCTCATTGGGACCCACTCTGGGTGACCGGGCGGAGAGAAAGCATTGCCCAGATRTCGATGGCAGCGATGYTGGTGGGGTKCCCGTGGGACGCCCGTGCATCGTCTACGACYCAGAGCCAGGCGGGAACCCAAAGTAGCAACAGCGCAAGCAACAAATCAACACCAAAGGATCGATYAMTGGATCCMGAGTTGTCGGCGGCGGTTCAGCAACTCTTCGATCTCGATGCATCAAATCGGCTCGTCCCGGGAAAGGACTATGTCATCGACGTTCAGGGTGCTTTCCGGAAATCCTCTGGCGGCAACGGCACCGASGGAGCTAACGACGCCGCCCCGGGCCCGCTCTTCCGGTACGTCGATCCAGCGGTCTTTCGGGATCGCCCCACGTACCAGCTGTTTTTGGCTCTCCTGGACAACTACCAATCGAACGTTTGCTCCCCGGAAGACGATACCAAAGCAGAACAGGAGGAGGCCCAGGCCTTTCTGCGCGCTTGCATGGCCACTCCCGCAATGCAGTTCTGCTATCGGTACTGCCGATCCCGGCTAGCAGCCGAGGCTGCAGCGGCCGAAGTGGCGGGAGGCGATGGCACCGCAAACACTCCGGCAGCAAAGAAGGTATCCTTCGATACSGAAGAAGACTTCCTTCGGCTCCTTTACAAGATTTGGTTCCGAATGTACAGTAGGAGCAAGGAGTGCGACGAAGACCACAACAAAATAAATGGATCGTCCGGTTTCGAACACGTCTTTGTCGGAGAAACGAGGAACGGCAAGGTGATCGGATTCCACAACTGGATACAGATATACTCGCAGGAGAAACTCGGCAACGTCGATTACCGAGGGTCGATTGCGAAGGGGAAAACGACGAGCAGCAATACCAACTCGTCGCGGATACTGACGTACAATTTGCGATGGAATGGCGCGGAGAAATACGTCGGAACCAGCTTCATCGGTGTGTCYCCGGAATTTGAGCTGGCTCTGTACACAATGGTCTTCCTCGTCGGAAAGAAGGACAACATTGTTCGGCTCAACCTGAGTCAATCTTCCGCGGAGCRATCGGAAATCGCCGACCTCGATGTCAAGTGCTTCAAAACGAAAGGAAAGGTAGGAAGCTCCTACGTGGAATCGATAGCGACTCTTTGAATTTAGTACCGACAAAAACCATTGTAACTACGCGAGATCTACCATCGATCACCCTCCCCCCCCTCCYCCGACAGCCCCTGCATGGAATTGAGTACGAGTGGCACACATAGGCTGATGCAATACATACAAAATGACTGCTTGCTCAAACTTATCCTACGTGCAATACTTTACATTTCCACAATCGTACGTGACATAGAGCAATACATTTTGAAAACAGATTAACAGGTTACATGTTGTGATGAATTGTGTGTGCGTTTGCGATTGTGCCGTAGCGTGTAGTGTTGTGTCGTGTAGTGTTGTGCCGGAGCGTGTAGTGTAGTGTCGTGTCGTATTGTTGGATATCGTCGACGGCGGATATGGAAGCACGTCGTGGGGGTGTTCTGGCTACGGGCGCCGTTCTGTGGTTTGCTTTGGTCTGATTTGCGGTTCCATTTGTGTTTTATACGATCGCGACAAAGAGGACCATGCCGGCCACSGCGGACGCCACCAGTGTGACGAGGATGTACTTGTAGCCCCGGTCCTGCCGCTGCTGCGTGAGCGTGTACACCTCCGAAACAAAGGTAGACACGGTCGAGAGGCAGCCGGAAAAGCCGATCTTGACGGCCCGGACGGTGGCGATCCCCCAGAAGCCGCTCCTCCCGCCGAGGGTCGCGGCCATTTCCAGGTTGTACTCCCACCCGATCATGCTGATGCTCACCACCGCCCCCAGCAGGTTCGCCGCAAGGGTCCCGATGGGGAGCCAWGCCCACCGGTGGAACCTTCCCGAGAAGTACTCGCCGAGCCTCCCGTTGAAGGAGGAGAGCTTCCACCTCAGGAGGGCACCGGGGGGCGCAAAGAGCATGGAGTAGGCCATGGTCCGGTAGGTGTTCTGGTAGGACGTCCCGGCGTCCCAGTGTCCCATGAGGTTGACCAGGAGGAGCAGGCAGGCACCMAGCATCGTTGCGGCCACGGGAAGCTCGTACCAGACCGTTCCGTCGATGTCCATGGGGGCGGCGACGCCCGCCGCGGTCAGCGGCCGCGCSTGGGAAAGGTCGGATTCCTCSCGGGAYAGGGACTCCAGCGAGGCGGAGGCCTCGAGGAGCTCGGTGTGGCAGCGGCGCTTCGACAGCCACTCCAGCAGGCCGTCGATGTCCCACCCGTGGTAGATGGCCATGTCCCTCGTTTCCTGCGTCGGGACCTCCTTGCGGACGATCAGGGCGGTTTCCAGCTCGACGAGTTCCTCCGACAGGCCGCTCTCGACCCTCCTGGCGTCCCGGGTCGACTGCCTCCAGCGGTGGAGGGGGGCCAGCTCCTCGCGGGTCAGCGTCGAGGAAGGGGACAGCGCGGGGCCCGAAAGGGAKGACGGTCCGTCCGTGTTKCCGCCGACGCCGCCCCTGCTGGCCCGGTCGAAGAGGCCGTGGAGGTACCGGCGCTCGACGACCGGGAGGTCCCGGTTGATGGCGATCCCGTGCYTTTTCTCGCGGACGCTCATCTCCCTCTGCTCCCTCGCGAGCTCTGGGTTGACCCACTTGTGGAGCCACCAGGCGACCGTCCGGCCGAAGACGTAGGAGCCGATGGCGGTCTCCATCCCGACGACGTACCCGAAGAGGGCCCTCCAGACCATGCTGGGCCGGTTCGGCATGGCGTCGTGGTTTCCCACCAGCAGGACGACCATCTCSGAGTTCCATGCCGAAAAGGTCGTGAGGGAGCCGCAGAAGCCCGTCTTGAGGGCCAGGTGGAAGACGCCCATGGACTGAAAGRCGTGCGAGGGCTTGACCCAGGCGAYCGGGAGGTTGATGGCGAGTCCGAGGGCCGCCCCGTCCTGCAGGAGGCCCATCAGAAAGGACCCCAGCAGGTTGGCCGGSAGGTCGGCAAAGACGATCCCCTCGTTCTGGGTGGTCGTCCCGCTGGAGGTGACACACAGGACGGACTCGTCGGCGATCCAGCCCACCGTCTCGGGGTTGGAGCAGGCCTGGCCGAAGAGCTGGGCCAGGACCAGCCGCAGGAGCGTCCCGAGGATGGCGGCGATCCCCAGGTAGCAGGCCTGGACAAAGAGGGCCTTTTTGCCCAGCGAGGAGGAGAAGGCCTCCCCCCCGCCCAGGACGGTCTTCCACACCACGCCCGAGGCGGTCGAGGCGGCGTCCAGCACCCGGGAGGAGAACTCGGAGGCCTCKGCGTAGCTGTATCCATACCCGTARCCGTAGCCAAAGCCGCGGGTGTGCTGGTTCGCGGCCGCTTCCTCGTCGCCGAAGGGCTGCTCCTGTTCCATGGCGGTGATGAAGGAGGTCCCCGAGGCCTTGGTCTKGAGGGTSGGGGCCTCGTGGTTCCTGGCTTCCTGTCCCCCCCGGTGGCGGCCGACGTTCAGGGCGTTTCCCGACGCGGGGAGCGARTGGTACCCCTCGGCCATCTCCTGGGGTTGTTGGTGTTGCTGCTTCTGCTGCTGCGGCACGCTGCTTTCTCTTCCCTCCTGCTGCTCGTCCGAGGGGGTGCTCAGGGCACTCGAGGCAAAGTCGATCGACCCGGCGGCCGCTGCGTTGCTCTTATGGTTGTGGCTCATCTCGGAAGAAGAAGAAGAAGATCCGTCGCGGAAGATCCGTCGCGTTGTTTTTGTTTTTGTGTCGGTGGTGGTGGTAGGTCTCTTTCCCTCCCTCTCGGCTCCTTTGGATGTCACACAGATCGTTGGAGTGCGAATGGATGGACGGATGGATGGATGGATGGATGGATGAATTCTTCTTCCCGTCTGCTTTGCACCTTTTTTTGTGCTGCCCGTGTGGCAATAGTGTTGTCCTTTGCGCAGTTTTCTCGATCGATGGAGTTAGTGGGGGCAGGTGAACGAATTCACGGAACAAGGTGCGTTTGTACGGTAAAGTGCCGTACGGTACTCGTAGGTGTACGTSTAGTTGTACGATAYGATGGTTCTCGCATACTCGTACGAGCATCGCCATTGCGATACCATCGAGCCGTTGCGGACCCACGGGACGACCAAAAAATGTGGTGGATGCCTCATTTTTTCGATGCGCGCCCTGCCATCGGCTCGTGGCCCGACGTGCGCAGAGATGCATCGCACAATTTCTTCTATGTAATCCGGTCTACTTACGKGAAATCCTGTGCCACGGCTGGGTCGTGTCTTGCAGTTCGGTGTTGTAGATGGTMGAATCCGTACCAACGGAGAGGCAGATTCGGCAACACGTGCAAATTGCACGTGCGAGACAAACCCTTTGTTTGGATCGGATGGAATCCCCCCTTAGATATTGMGAAMTAATCCCCCCAAACTATCAACCCCTCTTTTCGGTCGTTTGGATCGGGCGTCGACAACAACAACAACAAYAAAAAACACCGCCTCGTATCTCTTCATCACACGAACAAGGGCAACAGGAACAAAGGACTCCTCCCCAAACCTTTGTRCTSTTTGCTCGATCCCGCCACCGAGAAACCACAGCACGGCATGTCTGGATCGGTCAGCATCAAGATCCGGTCGCCCATCCGTTCGGGGACGGGCGCTGCCGCAGCGGCGACCGACGATGCTCCCGGAGACAGGAACCCACCGGCGCTCCGGTTCCCCACCTGGAGGGACCACTCCAACCCCCAAAAGGTGCAGGCCCACGCGGCCAAGTTCCACCTGACGGCMCCTTCCGACATGCCCRAGGGATTCCGGTACACCGACGAGGAGCGGAGCCTCCTGGAGATGTACGACACCGCAAAGATCTTCGAGCGGGAGGTCCTCCGGCTCAAGGAAAAAAAGGCCCGGGAGCACATCTACGCCGCGGCMGCCGCCGCAGAGGCCGAGGCGMGGGACAAGGACTCCGGCGACAGCGACGCCGASGACCGCGAGACCGAGCGCGCGGCTTCCGATCCGGCCGCCCTCGCCCTGGCGGCCGCCATGAAGAAAAAGAACAAGGCCAAGAAACCGAAAAAGAAGGCCGCCGCTCTCGAAGCGGAAAGCGGGGCGGCCGCCATGTCYTCCTCCGACGAGGAGGAGAGCGGCGACGACCGCGAAGGCRTCCGCGACGACCACAGCGACGACGAGGACTCGGTKGGAGACGAGCTCGCGGCCCTCCGCAGCGAGGTGGAGTCCAAGCGGCTCGCMAAGGCCATGGAGCTGGACGCCAGGGAACGAGAAGAGCAGATGCGAAACGAGCTGCTCCAGAAGGCCGACCCGGACGAACTGGACTTCCAGCCGGCCGTCAAGCGCAAGAAGATCGACGACGAGTCGTCGGCGCTGTCGCCGACCCGCGGCGGGCCGTCCCTGCTGTCCAAGATGAGGACCACGCAGACCCCGCCGCACGAGTTCTCCGAAAAGCTGGGGATCAAGTCCTGGAAGGGGGCCGTCCTGCTCCCGGCCAAYCTCGGGGATCCCTTCTGGCAGCCACCGGACTACCGGCCGCGGGATCCCAACGACGGTGCCTTCACGGTCGCCCTCGAAGACTTCGACATCGGCAAGGCCAACAACGGAGAGGGMCCCAACACGCTGGCCCTCAAGTTCAACGCGCCCAGCGACTCGAGGCGGTTCAGCTTCAACATTGCCGGTCCGAACCACAACGATTTCGATTCGATCTTGTTCCATTTCAATCCCCGCCAGCGACAAAAGGGCGGCCAGCTCGTCGTCAACGACAAACAGCAGGGGACGTGGGGCAGGGCGGTGCAGCTCCCGCTGTCGCAGGTTCCCCTCATGTTCGGCCAGCCTTCCTCGACGCTCATGATCCAGATCAACGGGGACGGATTCGACGTCTTTGTGGAGAACAAGCACGTGGCGCGGCTAGAGCACAGGGTCGAGCTGCCCTCGCGGCCCTGCAAGCTCTGGCTCCAGTTTCCGAGCTGCGACGACTCTCGGAACCCGGAGAACTGGACCGTCTACCGGGCCTGGTGGGGGAACAAGGAACCACTGGCCAAGGAAGACGTCTCGGGCATCGCGGGGGTCGACGCCTTCGACTCGGTCCACCCCAAGAAGCTCTTYGTGTCCGGCCTGCCGAAAATCCGCACCGACAAGCAGGTCGAGCTGCGGACKGCCGARCTCGAGCGCGTCTTTCGCCGGTTCGGCGGGGCCCGCGGGGTCTCCTGCGTGGTGCCCAAGAACTCCAAGTACGCCTTTGTCGAGTTCGAGACGGAGCACATGTGCGACGTGGCCCTGCAGAAGATGCCAGAGACCTCCTTTCCCTACAAGATCAACCGGGCCCGGCGGACCAAGCACGAGGCCCTCATGGCGGAACGCGCCGCCAAGGAGCGGGGGGAATCCACCGGAGGGGGATGGTAGCCCGCGCTGCCGGGGACCGAGCACCTTTTTTGGGGCGAAAAGACCCCGGGGGGTCAGCGTGCTGGGTTGGGTCTCGCTCGGTCCCTACCGTTTCGTTTCGTTTCGTTCCTACTCGGAAGGGGCGGCACCGCGGCGGCTATTCTGCCTTGTTGCACACGTTTGTGGCAKAGGTGCATCTCCGAAAACGTACTTGCGAATGAGTAACATCGATTGCTTCCTTTCGAAACATGAATTTTTAACTTAACTATCTACTTTTCATCGAATGCTGCTAGGAAGGGGCACTGCCTAGCATGCAATTCGCTGCGATCATTGTGTCGACCGGCGACTTCTGCTCCCAAGAAAAACTATGCTGCCTCGCTGCATTTCTTTCTTCTTCCTAGTCCTCCAGTTCCAGTTCCCGCCGTCTCTTGTAGTAAGAATTTTGCACGCAGTATTTGATCACTTCGGATTCCTCGTAGAAAAAATCCACCATGTGCTGCCCTCCCTCGGAAGCATTCTTGCCCCCGGGGAGCACGTACTTCCAGTGATGGAAGTCTCCCCCATRMAKGTATTTCCAGCCGMGGTGCTTCTGGAGCTTCTTGATCAACGTGGGAAAGTGATAAAAGTCTTCCTCATCCTCCGAAGCAAACCGGAACTGCGTTCTCTGGGCCATCGGTGTGTCGGCATTGTCCTCGCAATGCGAATCGCGCCGGGTTCTCTTCGGTCGGGTGCTCTGGGTGGGGGTCACYGTGTGGCTTGCGCTCCTCTTCCTGTTGGGTTTGCTGCTGCTCCTGCTGCTCCTGCCCCTCTTGGTGCTGCTGCTTTGTTTTGGAGGCGTCCCGACCTCCGTTMCCTYCCAGCCATAGGTGTCCCTCAGAAACCCAACGAACGAGTCCCTGCTGAGGAACAGCTTCTTGCCCCTCCACTKCGGGTTCAGCTTGATGTCGTCGTATCCCACGCCCGGACTAAAATAGTTTCCGACGTTGGCATCGATGGTCCATCCCGCCTCGGCGAGCCTGTCGCAAACCGTGTCAAAGGAGTCGCTGGTTTCGACTGTTTCGACCCGGGCCGGTTCGATCGAGGATTTCGCGGGGGGGTTCTTCCGGGCCTTGTGTGGAGAAAAGATGTGGAGCGACGCCAGGTCGTCGGTTTCGGTGTCCTYTGCTACTCCGCGAGCATAGGTTTGGGTGAGGCCCGTCGTCGCCTYGGGTTCCTTAGCAAGGGGAGAAAACGGAGGGGACGGTTCTTGCGTTGTGTTTTGGACATCACCGTTGCTCTTTTTTGTAKTCTTGGGGGGAGGAGAGAAAGGAAGGGACGACGGATTTGCATTGCTCGCCGGAGCAGCGGTGTCGTTTGACGCAGCCTCCAAAACGTCGGGTCCTTTCGTTTGTTCCTGTGGAGTTTCCGCAAAGAGAGCCTGGGGAGTTGCTGTTTTGTTGCCAGTGGATTCCGAAGGCCGGCCGGGCCCTCTCTTTTTGGGTTTCTTGGGATGGGGAGAGAACGGAAGWGATTCCGGAGTGTTTCCCGCCGGAGTGGTAACCGGAGAAACAGTTTCTGTCGCAGTGRCATCGGAGKTGGSATTCGYGTGTCCATCGGTTGGATCATGGGTAGATGGGGTAGAAGAGGCCGGAGAAACGGTCATGGAGTGGCTTTCGGAAGATCCCGTGCCATCCTGCCCCTCCGACGATTGYGATACCAACGTTGCAGAAGAAGAAGGCGATGCCGCTTCSACGGACCGTCCAGGATCTTCCACCGCATCGYTGTTTTTCTTGTCGCTTGAAAGGTCCTTCGCAGCAGGAACGGCATCTTCATCGGTCTCCGGAAGAATCGAGGCTTCYCCACTGGTTTTCTTGGCAGCAGCGGTAGCAGCGATACCAGTTTTGGGCAAAGTCATAGCTTCCGGGGCCATATCTRCCTCGGGGACAGCATYATTGCAAGCAGTGRTGAATTTTTCTCCTTGAGGTTTGGGGGGCGCATCGTGATTCACACAAGCATCGGCAGTTGTGGTGGCTCCGTAATGCTTGTCCCCTCCGTTGGCATCTTCTTGTTCTTCATCGCTATCGCTATCGCTATAGATTTCATCCCTAATGAACGWTTGCCAGATCTCGGGTGTAGATTCTTTCCACTCTTCCAATTTTTCACCTTGTTTGTCTTCTTTGCTTCCTGCGGATGAGTTCTTAAGTWCATCCGATASTTTCGTTACGGTAGATGGCAACCGTGCGAGTTCGGCACGGCCGATATCCCGGAAATCGGATCTTAGTGTCTCGTTTGGWGCCAGTGGGCCGCCCATTCTCTTGGTAGCAGCKAGGTCCAGTGCAAGCATGTATTTCATGTAGAGCTCGTCGTCAACGATTGTGGTTTCTGTGAGATCGCCATTTTCCTTGTCCTTCTGCTTTTTCAAAACGACAAAGGCATCCGGTTTCATCTGCGGCAGGTGGACTTCTTGCGGCATTCGGGTGAAGGATACAAATTCCGCTGCTTGGTGGGCTTCTAGCTCACCACCTGCTGGGTGGTCTTCCACGATCTCGACRTAGTCGCGGATGGAACGTCCCAACAACCTTGCGATCATAATACACTTTTGCTGGAGCATGTTCCGAAAGATCCTTTGTACAATCAGCRCCTTGGTTTCGGTGGCATCGCTTCYTTGATGTTCTTCGGGTTTCAGCTCGTTCRCAAAAAAGTCTTGGAATTCATCGTAGTCGTTGAATAGCACACTCGGCCACCATAATCCGGGGCACTCGTTGTCGGAAGGGCCTTTTTCTCTTGCAGCCAGAGCCGACAAGGTGGATAGCGGCCTTTTCACCCAGTGAAGCTGTCCCAAMTCCGCTATAGGGAGCGCATCCGTAGTGTGATTCGTGGCGGGGCTTTCGCCCTGGTCATGAGCTAAGATCGACTGCATAATATCAACCGGTACGTGATATGGTATGTGCAGTTAAAGTATTTAGTGTTACTTCCGGGGCTCTTGGGTTGTGAGGTTAGTGGTAGATAAAACTACGGCCTGGTTAGTGCAGTGTAATCGTAMGCGTAAAAAATGCCCTCACCAATGATTTCGAGTGTCAGTACTGTACATTACTAGGAACTACGAGTGATCGTGGTGACAAAGCTAGGTAACAAAAAGTCTGGTTTGGCGCGCAAAATACTGYATGCTGGGTCTACAAAGTACGAGTACAAGTACGGTAGTTTTCTTSGTAGGCCAGCTTYGGAAAACGATTGTTTCAACACAGCGAAGGACAACAAAGCAAAATGCTTCGTAGTTTTTCAAGACGGGAATTCCACGTACAAAATTTTCTCACGATGGCACCGTTTAATTTTATGCAATTTGTGTTGCTTTACCGTACGGTAGGAACAGCAATGCTGGGGCGCCAAAAATACTTSAAGCGTCAATCCGTTGAAAATGGCGCGCCAACCTGATCTTGCCATCATTTTCTTGCCCCGATACGAATACTCCCATGGAGTACCAAGTACTGTATGTTACGAAGTTAAAAGTACAGTTGTATGAAATACAGTTGATACGTGTAGTTCGTACTCGTACCAACGGTAGTACCTAACGCGATCATCGCGAAGATACGGTACGTCCTACTCGTACTACACTGTTTTTCAAACCGAAAAGGATTGTACGGTATGTGGTCATACAGTAATTTAGAGCCCTGATCGCACCTACCGGTAGATCGTAGATCGGTTCTGACCCCTTTCTATCGGCCCCAGACCAGGACGGTATGGTACGAAAGTAAGAGTACGAGTAACATCAGACTGCTGGTTAGACTTACTATGGATGATGGGTTGATGAGCTGAGGTAAGTCACTTGTTGCTCATAACCTGCGAAGTATACGTGGCTCCTTATAGTCGCATAATGCGGTGTTTATAATAAAGAGTGAGTTTATTCACTATCTATTCGTGATTTAGCCTCACAACCACAATACTTTCTCCTATTGATGAAAAAATCAAAAATAGTAAACCACCACCAGTAAATTGTATAACACGCATCCAATCCGCTTCGACTTACTCTTACTACAGTGCCTTCAAGATCTATTTGCATAGCTTTAATAACGTGATAATTCCGGTGTCCACAGCAATGTACGGTATTGATATTCAGCTGACGTGATAAAACACATTCAATCGATGCCAGACAAAAGCTGGCGAAAGATGCTGATAAATAGCTCGGTGCCATCGAATTCCTTCGGTAGAAAGGGCTTCATTAGGTATCTCAAAGCACDCAAAGCTTGTCGATGAGCATAAATACACACTGCTTATCATTTTTTAGAAATAAATAAAAAATAACAACGATTACAGTACTTTCTCTAACACAAACACTATATTGTTCCTCGGCCCGTCGGGGGCTTGATGGGATTCGCAAACGAAGAAGATCCGGTTCGCATCGTCGTGGCTGTGGTTTTCGATGCAGTCTCCTTCTCGGCCTGGTCGTCGCTCTGTAGCTTCAATTTCTTTTCCCGCAGGGCAAGAGCGCGGACCAGCTTCCGCATTTTCTTTCGTTCTGCATCGACTGCTTTGGAAGATCGGAGTTTTTCTTGTTCCATAGCCTTGGCGTGYTCTTTTGTGAGGCGCTGGGTGGTCTCTTCCATCCGGTCCAGGAATTTGATTTCCTGTGCCTTGAGGGCTTCCTTCACGGCGRCATCGAGTTTCTGCTGGTTGAGAACCTTTAGCTTTTCGAGCTGTGATGCCTGGAGATCGCTCAGTTGCTGTTCCAGTGCGGCAATTTTCTTTTGGTAGGTTTCCTCGAGCTTTGCCGTAAGAGAGTCCTGGGATCGCAACTGCTCCTCAAGCTCTTCGATTTTCTTGGCCGACGTCTCCAGCAGGCTTTCGAGCTCGGCCTTCATTTTTTCTAGCTGGCCAATTTCTCGCTCCAGTCTCTTCAGGGTTTCTTTTTGMTCCTTCTGCCTGTCCTTCTCTAGACGTTCCTGCTKTTTTTGTTGTTGTTTTTGCGCTTTTTCGTCTTCMTTGGAGAGCTTCGTCTCAGGGTTCGCGGCGCGTGCAGCACTACGTTCGGCAGCGACGCTTTCTTGTCGTTTCTTAGCATTTTCCCGAAGCGTCGTGACCTCGGTTCGGGCCTGCCGCAATTGTTCGTTCAAGAGAATTACCTGATCCTCTAGCGATTCACGATAGATCTGAGACGTCGACTTCTTGCCGCCTCCGAAGATGCCTCCTCCTCGGAGTTCGAACAGAGTTTGTTTTGACGTCGACATTCCC